GTAAAAGTGATAGTAATTTTACTAATATCAATAAAACTGTACTTGTACCCTTGGCAATATACATTTTTCAAATCGTTAAGCAAACTATAAAATAATTTTCTTTTAAATGCTAAACTTAATAAACCTGCAGCATCACCAACTTTGAGAACTTATTGCATCGTTGTTGTATACCACGAAGTTGGAACTGACCCTGAAGCTGGATTTCACAGTCAGTTAATTACAAGGGACATGATAGTCTATCTTTCTCCCATGGTGGATTTGAACTATGTGCCTTTGGGCTGACAGCACAAGTCCTCACCACTAAGCCACTAGGGCTTCCTGAGAACATATTAGGAATGCAAATTACAAACTCTATCCCAAGCCCACTCTATCAACAACTTGAGATTGGAGCCTTTCTTTCTTTTGCCTAACTGGTGGATTTAAATTACCAGAGAGACATAGCGTTTGGTTTAGCAGTGAAATTCCCTGTAGCCTTGTCCAGCGTAGCCTCTTACCTTATGGTTCAGGGCTTAGCTAGCATCATATTTTGAAAAAAATATCAGATTAAACCTTGTAAATTCCTACATCATTCAATTGGAAAAAAGTAAATAAAAATAATATACTATCATGGCGATAACAGATTCCTGTTCCATTTCCAGCCAGACATACCCATTTTCAGCCCTATATTCAACCAGAAGAATGTCTATCTGTGTTTCATTGATTATGCAAAGGTATTTGACTGTGTGGATCATAACAAACTGTGGCTGATTCTGAGAAGAATGGGAATCCCAGAACGCTTGATTGTGCTAATGAAAAACCTATACTTGGACCAGGAGGCAGTCATCAGAACAGAGCAAGGAAACACTGCATGGTTCAAAATTGGGAAGGGTGTATGACAGGGATGCGTCCTATCTCCGTACCTTTTCAACCTGTACGCAGAACAGATTTTCCAAGTAGCTGGGCTCTCTGAGGAGAAGTGTGGCGTCAGGATTGGTGAAAGATCTATTAACAATCTGCGTTACGCAGATGACACAAGATGCTTGCTGAAACTGAGGAGGACCTGAAGTGCTTGCTGCAGAAGGTCAAGGACTGCAGCCTTCAATATGGATTGAGGCTCAATATCAAGAAGACAAA